TTAAAAGACATGACATCACCCAAATCCTAATATATACTTTATATTTCCATATTCACTCTACTTCTGATTGATTACGTTTGTACCTGGTTGATAGTTTCAACTATTTCTGGCAGTTGTTGTTTTCATCCTATTTTCGAGACGAAGCCATCCATGTCTCCGGAAATCCGTGACGGGTTTATGTCGTGAGCTTCATGTCCTACGTTTACCTACCGGTGATTTAGCATAGCTACTGAACATGGCCCACTTATAGTTGATCTACCCATTAGAGATGGTGATTTTCCATCGCAAACTGTGAGTTTACCAGAGGGTATCTCCCCACTGTTTTTCCCGAGAGCGCCTGCGAAGGGTTCTTCGTAAAAAAGCAGCCGTTATACTAGATCTTCACTCCTTCACATCTGCTGATCTAGATCTTCACTCCTTCACATCTGCTGATCTAGATCTTCACTCCTTCACATCTGCGGATCTAGATCTTCACTCCTTCACATCTGCTGATCTAGATCTTCACTCCTTCACATCTGCGGATCTAGATCTTCACTCCTTCACATCTGCTGATCTAGATCTTCACTCCTTCACATCTGCGGATCTAGATCTTCACTCCTTCACATCTGCTGATCTAGATCTTCATACCCTCACACCTGCAGATCTAGATCTTCACACCCTCACACCTGCAGATCTAGATCTTCACACCCTCACATCTGCAGATCTACATCTTCACACCCTCACATCTGCCGATCTAGATCTTCACACCTTCACATCTGCAGATCTAGATCTTCACACCCTCACATCTGCAGATCTAGATCTTCACACCCTCACATCTGCAGATCTAGATCTTCACACCCTCACACCTGCAGATCTAGATCTTCACACCCTCACACCTGCAGATCTAGATCTTCACACCTTCACATCTGCTGATCTAGATCTTCACTCCTTCACATCTGCAGATCTAGATCTTCTTACCCTCACACCTGCAGATCTAGATCTTCACACCCTCACACCTGCAGATCGAGATCTTCACACCCTCACACCTGCAGATCTACATCTTCACACCTTCACATCTGCAGATCTCCTCTCGCTCTTCTTCTATTCTCTCTTAAGGCGGGGGCGGTGCCGCCGGAGCGCCACGAAACGCAACCGTTTCGCACGAAATGGACGTTGGACGTCCAAAACCTAGGTGAAATTGCGATTTTGAAGCGTCGCCGGCAACCCTTTCGCACGAAATGGACGTTGGACGCCAAAAACTGAGGAAAAGTTGCGACTTTGAAGCGTCGCGCGCAACCCTTTCGCACGAAATGGACGTTGGACGTCAAAAACTGAGGAAAAATTGCGACTTTGAAGTGTCCCGCGCAACCCTTACGCACGAAATGGACGTTGGACGTCAAAAACTGAGGAAAAATTGCGACTGTGAGTTGTCAATCGCAACCCTTACGCACGAAATGGACGTTGGACGTCAAAAACTGAGGAAAAATTGCGACTTTGAGTTGTCAATCGCAACCCTTACGCACGAAATGGACGTTGGACGTCAAAAACTGAGGAAAAAATGCGACTTTGAGTAGTCCCGCGCAACCCTTACGCACGAAATGGACGTTGGACGTCAAAAACTGACAAAAAATTGCAATTTTACTGTGTGTAAAAGCTTCTGTGTGTAAAAGGGTCTGTGTGTAAAGGAGTCTGTGTGTAAAAGCTTCTGTGTGTAAAAGCGTCTGTGTGTAAAAGCGTCTGTGTGTAAAGGAGTGTGTGTAAAAGCTTCTGTGTGTAAAAGCGTCTGTGTGTAAAAGCGTTTGTGTGTAAAAGCGTCTGTGTGTAAAAGCGCCTGTGTGTAAAAGCTTCTGTGTGTAAAAGCGTCTGTGTGTAAAAGCGTCTGTGTGTAAAAGTGTCAAAAAAAGCTTCTGTGTGTAAAAGCCTCTGTGTGTGAAAGTGTTGTGTGTAAAAGTGTCTGTGTGTAAAAGCGTCTGTGTGTAAAAGCGTCTGTGTGTAAAAGGGTCTGTGTGTAAAAGCGCCTGTGTGTAAAAGCCTCTGTGTGTGAAAGTGTTGTGTGTAAAAGTGTCTGTGTGTAAAAGCGTCTGTGTGTAAAAGCGTCTGTGTGTAAAAGCGTCTGTGTGTAAAAGCGTCTGTGTGTAAAAGCGTCTGTGTGTAAAGGAGTCTGTGTGTAAAAGCGTCTGTGTGTAAAAGCGTCTGTGTGTAAAAGAGTCTGTGTGTAAAAGCGTCTGTGTGTAAAAGCGTCTGTGTGTAAAAGCGTCTGTGTGTAAAAGAGTCTGTGTGTAAAAGCGTCTGTGTGTAAAAGAGTCTGTGTGAAAAAGCGTCTGTGTGTAAAAGCTTCTGTGTGTAAAAGCTTCTGTGTGTAACAGCGTCTGTGTGTAAACGCGTCTGTGTGTAAAAGAGTCTGTGTGTAAAAGCGTCTGTGTGTAAAAGAGTCTGTGTGAAAAAGCGTCTGTGTGTAAAAGCTTCTGTGTGTAAAAGCGTCTGTGTGTAAAAGCGTCTGTGTGTAAAAGCGTCTGTGTGTAAAAGCGTCTGTGTGTAAAAGCGTCTGTGTGTAAAAGCGTCTGTGTGTAAAATCGTCTGTGTGTAAAAGCGTCTGTGTGTAAAAGCGTCTGTGTGTAAAAGCGCCTGTGTGTAAAAGCTTCTGTGTGTGAAAGTGTTGTGTGTAAAAGTGTCTGTGTGTAAAAGCGTCTGTGTGTAAAAGCGTCTGTGTGTAAAAGCGTCTGTGTGTAAAAGCGTCTGTGTGTAAAAGTGTTTGTGTGTAAAAGCCTCTGTGTGTAAATGTGTTTGTGTGTCAAATGTGTCTGTGTGTAAAAAGCGTCTGTGTGTAAAAAGCGTCTGTGTGTAAAAGCGTGTGTGTGTAAAAGCGTTTGTGTGTAAAAGCGTCTGTGTGTAAAAGCGTCTGTGTGTAAAAGTGTCTGTGTGTAAAAGCGTCTGTGTGTAAAAGCCTCTGTGTGTAAACGCGTCTGTGTGTGTGTGTGTAAAAGCGTCTGTGTGTAAAGGAGTCTGTGTGTAAAAGCTTCTTTGTGTAAAAGCGTCTGCGTGTAAAAGCCTCTGTGTAAAAGCCTCTGTGTGTGAAAGTGTTTGTGTGTAAAAGCTTCTGTGTGTAAAAGCCTGTGTGTGTGAAAATTGTGTGTAAAAGCGTCTGTGTGTAAAAGCGTCTGTGTGTAAAAGCGTCTGTGTGTAAAAGCGTCTGTGTGTAAAAGCGTCTGTGTGTAAAAGCGCCTGTGTGTAAAAGCTTCTGTGTGTAAAAGCGCCTGTGTGTAAAAGCTGTGTGTAAAAGCCTCTGTGTGTGAAAGTGTTGTGGGTAAAAGTGTCTGTGTGTAAAAGCGTCTGTGTGTAAAAGCGTCTGTGTGTAAAAGCGTCTGTGTGTAAAAGCGTCTGTGTGTAAAAGCGTCTGTGTGTAAAAGCGTCTGTGTGTCCAAGCGTCTGTGTGTAAAAGCGTTTGTGTGTAAAAGTGTCTGTGTGTAAAAGCGTCTGTGTGTAAAAGCGTCTGTGTGTAAAAGCTTCTGTGTGTAAAAGCTTCTGTGTGTAAAAGCGTTTGTGTGTAAACGTGTCTGTGTGTAAAAGCGTCTGTGTGTAAAAGCGTCTGTGTGTAAAAGCGTCTGTGTGTAAAAGCGTCTGTGTGTAAAAGCGTCTGTGTGTAAAAGCCTCTCTGTGTGTAAAAGCTTCTGTGTGTAAAAGCGTCTGTGTGTAAAAGGGTCTGTGTGTAAAAGGGTCTGTGTGTAAAAGCGTTTGTGTGTAAAAGTGTCTGTGTGTAAAAGCTTCTGTGTGTAAAAGCACCTGCGTGTAAAAGCGCCTGTGTGTAAAATCGTCTGTGTGTAAAAGTGTCTGTGTGTAAAAGCGTCTGTGTGTAAAAGCGCCTGTGTGTGAAAGTGTCTGTGTGTAAAAGTGTCTGTGTGTAAAAGCTTCTGTGTATAAAAGCCTCTGTGTGTAAAAGCTTCTGTGTGTAAAAGCCCCTGTGTGTAAAAGTGTTGTGTGTAAAAGCGTCTGTGTGTAAAAGGGTCTGTGTGTAAAAGGGTCTGTGTGTAAACGCGTCTGTGAAAGTCTTTGCGTGTAAAAGCATCTGCCTGTAAAAGCGCCTGTGTATGAAAGCGTCTGCGTGTAAAAGTGTCTGTGTGTAAAAGCGTCTGTGTGTAAAAGCCTCTGTGTGTAAACGCGTCTGTGTGTGTGTGTAAAAGCGTCTGTGTGTAAAGGAGTCTGTGTGTAAAAGCTTCTTTGTGTAAAAGCGTCTGTGTGTAAAAGCCTCTGTGTAAAAGCCTCTGTGTGTGAAAGTGTTTGTGTGTAAAAGCTTCTGTGTGTAAAAGCCTGTGTGTGAAAATTGTGTGTAAAAGCGTCTGTGTGTAAAAGCGTCTGTGTGTAAAAGCGTCTGTGTGTAAAAGCGTCTGTGTGTAAAAGCGTCTGTGTGTAAATGCGTCTGTGTGTAATAGCTTCTGTGCAAAAGCGTCTGCGTGTGAAAAACAATACGAAGGATAGGATGCAAACTAGTGTTTTGTACTTGTAATATATTGTCTTGATACTACTTGTCTCGCCTGCCTAAAATACATCTTTAATATATTGTCTTGCAATATAGTGTCTCAATACTAACAACAGAAGACCCTGCTCTCTCTCTCTCTCTCTCTCTCCCTCTCTCTCTCTATCTCTCTCTCTCTCTCTCTCTCTCCCTTTCTCTCTATCTATGTCTCTCTGTGGTTGCAAGACACGTGTCATATGATGCCCTTTACCAAGCAGCACAGTGCAAATGCATGGGTTGTCACATGTATCCTCTTCTTAATCAATCTTACTTTTCACAACTTACCCCTCCATAGCTCATATAAAATTCACCAACCTATCACCGACTATTTTTTACGACTACCATACTCAGAGCTGCTTGAAAAACGGCTTTTTCGCTCTCGGGCCAACCGTCGTCTAGTTTTTTCGGCTTCGCTTGCTTTGTTGCAACGCTAGATGAAGGAAACATCCGATGGGGGTGAAAGTATTTGGATCTAAACATTGGAGGATGAAAGTGAAAGATGACATCATTCTCAATCCCGGAGCTCAGTGAAAGTATGCGCGATTCTCGGGGGAGACAAGCTGGGAGACAAGCTGGGCGACAAGGGAGACAAGGCCTCGAAAAGGCGGCCACCCAACCAAGGGAAGCAAGAAGGAAGACAATCAGGGAGAGAAGCCGGGAGACAAGCTGGGAGACAAGCTGGGCGACAAGGGAGACAAGGCCTCGAAAAGGTGGCCACCCAACCAAGGGAAGCAAGAAGGAAGACAATCAGGGAGACAAGCCGGGAGACAAGCTGGGAGACAAGCTGGGAGACAAGGAAGACAAGGCCTCGGGAAGGCGGACACGCCATCCAACAAAGGGAAACAAGAAAAAAGACTGACAAGCTGAACTGGGGGACAAGCGCGGGAAACAAGCTGGGAGACAAGCTGGGAGACAAGCTTGGAGACAAGGGGTACAAAGCCTCGGGAAGGCGGACACACCATCCAACAAAGGAAAACAAAAAGGGAGACGACGGGAGACAAGGGGAGACAAGCGGAGCCAAGACCTCCGGAAGGTGGACACACCATCCAACGAAGGGGAAACAATGGGAGACAAGTGGGATCCTCGGGAAGGCAAACGCACCGTCCAACAAAGGGAAACAAGAAGGGGTGCAATGGGAGACAAGGGGAGACAAGACCCTTGGGAAGCCGGACACACCATCCAAGAAAGGGACCCGAGAAGGGGTACAATGGGAGACAAGGGGGAGACAAGACCCTCGGGAAGGCTGACACACCATCCAACAAAGGGAAACAAGAAGGGGTACAATGGGAGACAAGGGGAGACAAGACCCTTGGGAAGCCGGACACACCATCCAAGAAAGGGACCCGAGAAGGGGTACAATGGGAGACAAGGGGGAGACAAGACCCTCGGGAAGGCGGACACACCATCCAACAAAGGGAAACAAGAAGGGGTACAATGGGAGACAAGGGGAGACAAGACCCTTGGGAAGCCGGACACACCGTCCAACAAAGGGAAACAAGAAGGGGTACAATTGGGAAACAAAGGGACGCAAGACCCTCGAAAAAGGCGGACGCACCATCCAACAAAGGGACCCAAGAAGGGGTACAATGGGAGACAAGGGGGAGACAAGACCCTCGGGAAGGCTGACACACCATCCAACAAAGGGAAACAAGAAGGGGTACAATGGGAGACAAGGGGAGACAAGACCCTTGGGAAGCCGGACACACCATCCAAGAAAGGGACCCGAGAAGGGGTACAATGGGAGACAAGGGGGAGACAAGACCCTCGGGAAGGCGGACACACCATCCAACAAAGGGGTACAATGGGAGACAAGGGGAGACAAGACCCTTGGGAAGCCGGACACACCGTCCAACAAAGGGAAACAAGAAGGGGTACAATTGGGAAACAAAGGGACGCAAGACCCTCGAAAAAGGCGGACGCACCATCCAACAAAGGGATTCAAGAAGGGGTACAATGGGAGACAAGGGGAGACAAGACCCTTGGGAAGCCGGACACACCGTCCAACAAAGGGAAACAAGAAGGGGTACAATTGGGAAACAAAGGGACGCAAGACCCTCGAAAAAGGCGGACGCACCATCCAACAAAGGGACCCAAGAAGGGGTACAATGGGAGACAAGGGGAGACAAGACCCTTGGGAAGCCGGACACACCATTCAACACCAAGGCGGACACCTTAAGAAAGCATTAATAACCCCTAACAGTACACTGTTTGTGGGAAAAACACGGATTATAAATGAGCCATATCTCATATGTTGGATATCTCTCTCCATCTATTTTCTACATGTGTCGACCTCTGGCTCTCATCATATGCCAGAGACCTCTGGCTCCATCCACCAGCCAGGCCTCACAAAGGGCTGCGTCCAGACAACTGGAAACTGCGTCAGCCAGCTGGTCCTTGATGGGTCTCAGCGACTCCTGGAGATGAACCAAGCGACCAAGCTCCCAGATTTGCAAGCTGCTGTTGCCAACATCATTGGGTTGACAATGTTGACACAAAAGTTGCAATGTACATGCAGAATACGGATTCCAATTTGTATGCATGCCCAAAAAACATATTCGGAATATAAAAAAACACTAAGTGTACATCTTCAGCGTTCGTGTTTCTATATCTATACATGTGCATATATATTTATATATATGGGTATATATGCAAATTGTAGAAACGGGATAAAAGCCGGGTTAAACCACAATCCCAATACACCTGCTACGCACTATTTCTTGAGCCAATGCAACACAATCTATAAGGTGAAAAGTATGTATACATGCATAAAGACTGTGCAACAACACCCCCCGTGCAGTGTAGTTACCGCCCGGGTAGTGAAGCTGCAAATTAGGCTATGTACAGTCTAGTTAGGGATGCCATTAGTTAACATAAACAGAAAACACAACAACAAACCCAAACCCGACCGTCGCCTAACCTTTCGAAGTCTTTCGTACTTTCACCTCAGCGTTGCACGAAGTTGACAAACAAGATCAATAGCGATAGCAATCCATTCAATCTAACGTCACGTTGTGCGAAAGAAGGATGCAGTGCAAGTCAATTCGGCCGAATGCATTCAGTTTCATTTTGGCTCTACCGGGCTTGTGGTCGAACATGCAAACGTGTTGAAGTGTGGCCCATTACAAAGGCCAGCGTTTCCACGCGGCATCAAAAGTTCTTGTGGACGCCCGGGAGCATGCCGAAGCAAACAAAATGAATTAAAGCAAAATGCTGAATTCGGTTTCGATGTGAACCCGCAGGGAAGCTTTCAGAAATGCTTCAAAGATGCCTTAACTTCGCAAGGCAAGAGCTTCCGCTCTGCGGTTCATGCAACTACCAGCCGTGTGCTATGCAAGAAGGAATCATGGCAAGAATAAGATGAGTGCCAAATGCCTGCTTCAAATTATATGCATTCGAAGCGTTAATGAAACTTTTGTGAACTTGACTGAGTTGGCAAAAATTCCGACTTAGCACACTAGTGTTGGAAATGATCGTGGAATCGCTCACCCACGCGTGCAAAAATGAAGCTAGTCGCCTAACCGAATTAAATCCGAAAAGGCAACAGCTTCCGCTGTGCGACACCTCATTTTGAGAGAAAACTCCCCCGCCTCAGATGAAGATAAATCCACCAGGCGAGAGGTTCCCCTCCGCGGTGCCTCAGCGATAGCCCGACCAACGTCGATCCCTGTATTGGTGGCCTTGATTTCGACGGCGCCAATCTTCCCACTCCTGGTCAGTCCACTGATTGTAGTAGTCATTCCATTCCTGCTGACTGTAGCCATGAGTGGGCCCCTGATGAGAACCATAGCCAGGACGCGAGGACCTGGTAACATCCGGGTTCTGCTGCCTTGTAGCAGGTAGGGGTCGGCTTCCGCCTTCCGTGTCCTTTGCCTCCGTGAGGGGGCGCAAGATGTCCTCGACATAGCTGAGAATGTCGGCATACACATCCTGCTTGGACAACGCAAGGGATTGGAACGTCGTGTTGGCGACGCTCAAAACCTCAAAACGCTCGGCCACCGGGATCAAGGCATAGGCGGCCGCGAACTGGTTGGCTCTGTAAAAGCGGTTCTTGTACCAGATGAGGACATGATCATCCACAATGATCGTCTTCATCTGTTCCTCTTCGTATGCGACCATGCACATACGCGCTTTATACTGCCGAATCTTTCCAGTTCGGATCTCCTCTCGCGTGCGCTTGATGGAGGGAAGCACCACATTGCCCAGAACTGTAATCCAATGCATACACCGAGGTGTAAGGCCTTGGACCGCACAATTAAAGGCGTAATGGGCGTCCGTTCCCAGACGCTGTAGCAAAGTCAGTCCAGCTTTTCTCGCCTGCTTCATGTATGAGCGGGCGTGATTTTTGAGGACTGCCGCAGCAGATCTGATCTGCTTGGCACCTTGGGTGGTGCCTGCTACATCGTCGTCGCCCAGAAGATCCAATGTCAGCTCGAAGCCCAGCTTCTCAGCCAACTCTTCCAGGCGGAACACCTGACACGCACGGCGCATGTCGGACATTGTCGCCAACGACAAGCCGCATGCAAGGCAAACCAACATCCCCTCAGGAAAAATCTTCCTGCACCGGGGGCATGTCAACTCCGGCATTGCCAGCATTGATACATACCGCCAGCGCGTGAGGTTCCCCTCCGCGGATGGGTCAAATGCCTCCTGATCGAAGCGATCAGAACGGCGTTCCCGCGCGTTGTCAGGGGCGATGTCGAAGCCAGCAGCTGTTGCCGTCGGCTTGCGTGCCACACAGAGGAGATTGGTGAAGTTGAGCGGCCTTTGCTTGAACTTGGGCAGCAACTCATCGACGACAGGGTATGGTGTCGGAACTTCCTTGTAAATGAGCGGACGTCGCAGAGTGATGACATCCTTCCACTGATCGTACTCATTCACGAACATGTTCTTCAACACCTCCAGGTCCGAAATCTCGTACCTCTCAAGTTCGTCATAGTTGGGAGTGCCCTTCCAAGCCTCGTTCTCTTGCCAAGTGAGAGCGTTCTCGGAGGCCTTCTGCCGAAGGTACTTCTTCACACCGTTGTAGCCATGGTTCGCCCAAAGGTATTGCGACTTCTCGCAGTCGAATGCGTAGATGAGGCAATGATTGGGCACCCAGTCCTCAGTGATGAGTGCACCGGCCAAGGTTTCCACCAGGCGAAGACCATAGTGCAAAGCACAATCGGTGTCGATCGCGATGCACAGCGGTCGGTTCGTCCTGACACCAGGATCCTTGCCTTCGATTTCCCAAGGCGCATGGCGGGTCATATACACATGACCCTTGCATGAAGTGGCCCCTGGAAAAATCCCCGTGCAAATGATCTGCTGGAGGGAGTCCCATGAAGTGTAATGGTAAATAACCTTAAACTCTTCTGAGACCTCGGCTTCCGCCAGGTGAGGATAAATGGGAACCCTGGGGGTAGAATCCCTTCTTCAAATCCTCGACCGTGAACTGGTAGTCAAGCGAGATGATTTGCTTGACCAATGGAGCCGTTCCCACCTTGTCAATGAGCGACTGGTCATGGCCTTGGCAGGCCTTCACGTGGGTGATGCGGTAGGGCATGTCCATGGTTGTCAGTTCCCCGACAATTCCAGCCTGAATGCGGCACATGAACCTGTCCTGAGTTCGAAGAATCAGGTACAGGTCCTGTCGCGAAAGCTGAGCACGATGCCGCTTTCGGAGGTACGTGTACATGGACTCAAAGTTCAAGTACAGCTCCTCATCAAATTCAGGAGGAATATGGCGATGATGCGCCTCGAGGAATTTGTGATCATATCCACGGAGCAGCCCGGTCACCCTCTTTGAAAATTTGAAATCATCATGACTGAGTCTTCCAAGGTCCCTCAGGCCTGGCAGGTCTGTACACCGAACGGTGAATTCCCTGCGCTCGCCCGTTCCCGGGGAGAAAAAGTACCACTTGGGATATCCATGTGGTCGCAAGGGCGGTTCAGCCGGAGGCTGAGGTCCACCCGTTCCCGGGGGAGGAGCACTTGCCATAGGCGGCTCCTTCTTGGCCATCTTCGGGGCAGGCTCCGACGAAGACGTAGCTGCAGGCGCCGATGACTTCTGCGGAGGTGCCCTCGGTGAAGTTGTTGTCAACGTTGCAGGCGGTGCCTTAAAAGGCAAAGCTTTGGGCATTGGATGGTCCGCAGCTTCCGCTGGGAGTGCAGGTGGTTCCGGCTTGGGGGATCCAGTTGCACTCTTCGGAGTCGGTGGCGGACTGGGCTTTGGGGACGCCATGGGAGACGTTCCCGTCGCCGTTGAAACCTTTGGGAGCCGCGGAGCAGGCTTGGGCTGAATCATGGTAGCCTGATCCCTCATCTTTGGTTTGATGAATTGGCTGACAGTGTCCCCGATCACCTGTGCGATGCCGCTCGAAGATGATGCCGCTTCGGATGAGGAAGCCGCCTTCGACTTGGCCTTCGACATGATCTGGACAGTGGCAGCAGGGTCACCCGCGCGAAGTTTCTCCTCGGCGGTCTTGGGCTCCTCAAAGATCTCCCGTTCCATCTGACGATGCTTCTCCTCATCCGTCAAGTCAAAGCGACGAATGATGACTGCACCCTCTTCGGTCTGCTGCATGGATTCCTGCCGAAGTTCAAGCTTGGCAGGGTCACGCGTGACGTCGGTGTCCAAGATGTTCACTACGCCAGAACCATCCAATCTGAAGTCCACAGCATGGATCTTATTCATCAGATGGGAGCGCAGCTTCCGCTGGCTAAACATTGATGCTGAGCCGCCGACGATGGGTTCTCTGAAGACAATCTCCTCGTCAGCATCCGGCTCGTCAATGTCACGCTCGTCGGAAACACCCGGCAACCGATCCAAAAAGGGCTTGAGGATGGCGTCGATGAGCTCACCATCCATCTCCGGCTCTTTGACCTCATGCGGTTCAAAGTGCTCGGGTTCCCCCGGCAGTGCAGCATCCACGGACTCCAAAAGCTGCCAGTTTGATGAGGCCACAGTGGCATCATCCTGCACCGTAGGAGCCTGTGCGACTTGTGCACGTGCGGGGTCAACTTCATTGGGAAGCCGTTGCCCTTTGGGTCGGGTCTCCTTCACGTAGATTTCCCAACCGTCCACGTCCATGGAGACCAACACTTCTTCCATCTCTTCCCATTGAGGGTTGTTTTCAGGTTGAGGGTTGGCCAGCGATTCCTCGCGGCGCTTCTTCATCTCAGCCATCTCAATCAATGGCTTGCACGACCGAAGTCGAAAAAGATGATAACCAAGAGCGCCTGCTTCGGAATAGAAGCGAATGCACTGGAGGCGGTTATGCTCCGAATTCTCCATGTGCTGGCCGTCGTATCGTGTAGTACACTTGATAAGCGACGTGGCATCGAGGACGCAGAGTCCACGTTTCCTCAAAGCCTCAGCTTCGCGAATCATTTGACGGTCATAGTCGGGGTGCAACCCATACCCCCTGCCGTACCA